CGGGGCCGCCAGGGGCGGCCGGGCGCGGAGGGGCGGGAGAGGGGGAGCTGTGCAGCCGAGGGGCAGAGGCACTGGGGCCGAGGCACTGGGGCTGGGGCTGGGGCCAGGGCAGGGGCGGCACAGTGCGAGGTCTCACGGCCGCGCAGGACAGTATTTTGCGGCAGAAACTCTCTTGAGAGCAGACAATGGAGCGGGATGTTTACTGCGGGTGGGAAGACAATTAGCAATTCATCGGGAGAGATGTGTCACCTAAATGTCACGGGGAAGCTAACATGACATCTGTTTTAATGACTCCGTGCTAATAAACTCCTCTCGAAGGGCGGCTTTGTGGGGACGTCAAAGATTATTTACAGAATGAGTCAGTTTTCAAACGGGCTGAGGCGCCGGCGGCGGCGGCGGGAGCGCGGCGCGACGGGGACACGGCGCCCGGGACGCCGTGGGGTGGGAGGGACCCTCCGAGGAGAGGGCACCGCTCCTCTCGCCCGCACTGGCCAGCAGAGCCCGGCTCGTCCCAGCAAGGCTCGGCCCGGCCCGGCAGGTCCCTCCTGGTCAGAGAGACCCGACACCCCCTTACTGGCCCCAGCCCCAGTGCCGCCCACACGGGCGTCCTTCCCCCAGCGAGGACTGGCTGTGCCTCGCAGGGAGCGGAGCAGGTGTGGGAGCGCCTACGGAGGTGGCAGGCCGAGAGCGTGCCTTCTGCTTAGCTTTGCCCGGAGGGTGAGGGAGCCCCAATCCCGGGAGGAACCAGTCTGTCAGCAGCGGGGTCCGCGTCCTGGGCCCGCAGCCGGGGGGCGCAGAGGCGACCCGGCCACCGAGGTGAAGTTCCTTGACACCGGGAAGCGACGAGGCCCCTGAAGAGAGGCCGAATTTACGCCGAGTGCCACATCCTGCGTTATTGAACAAGACACGTTGCACTAAAACACATCAGTAGACAAACCGAGAGAATCCATTTAGAACAGTTAACACAGCCTGATTCGCTCACAAGCACACAGTGGGGGGAGGCAATTTAATTTCCCTCAAATCCATCCGAAGATTTTTATGTTCAGATGGCATGAAAGGGTTCTTTAAAAGAGAAGGAGAGGGGGAATACTTTCGAGCCTCTGGCCATTGGTCTGTATTCTTGTGCTTCCTCGATTTTCGTTTTTTGTAAGGCTAGACTTGGGAGGGGGGGATGGGAAGTGCTAACTGCAGTTGCAAATAGGCATGTGTATATAAAGAGAAAATGTGTGTGTGCGTTTCTGTATGTGTATATATATATATGTTCATGTGTTTGTCTATCTGTAGAGAGAATAGATACTCAATGTTTTTGAGACAGTCAGAGTGAGCCAATCCAAAAACTCTTTACTCGAGCAAAGCCTCCAATGAACGTAATAGCAGGTTATTGCAAACCTGTCCTCGGTACTTATTAACCGTCCAGATCAAAAACATTAATGGATAGCGAGAATGAAAACAGGCTGAGAACCGTCTGTCGTTCTTCCAAGGGCAGCGAAAGCCCAGCACTGACACCCGGTCTGAAGGCAGCGTCATCCTCCGCAACCTGGAGAGGGAGGAGGTGGGCCGGGAAGTGGGTGGGTAAGAGGAAAATTGCCATTTTCAGGAAAACTAAATTTAATTTTAAGTGGCCTGCATCTGAGATCAGTAAATAAGCCATGGATCTTCTTTGCCTCCTTCTGTCCCCATGGCTATTGTGTTCCCAAAGAAACGTCGAGGGCAGGCGGGTGCCAGCCCTGCACAGGGGCGATGACCGGGGGGACAGGGGCGCGGAGGCAGGGGCTCAGCCCACCGGCAGGCCTGGGGTGCCAGGCCGCCCTCGGTCCCCCTTCCCTCGCTCCTACCGGGGCAGGGGGAGCGGGGGCTGTGGCGGGAGCCCATCTCCTGCAGCCTGGTACGCTTCTTCCCGGTTTATTACAAACCTCATGGAGCAGATCTAGGAGCGTCGACCTCCTCCGGGGGGAGCGCACCGGCAGCTTCCCGGGACTGTGTGCCTGGGGCGAGCGGAGAGGGGGACACCAAAACTGTTTCTGCGTGTCCTTTACTTACAGGGGTGTTTGTAGGTATCTACCAAATACGTGCAGCTGCCCGGTGCGTGTGCATCCGTGCACCGTGACTTCTGGGGGGAGCGGTGAAGGCTCCACAGCTGCTCCCTCTGCTTAAACCCTCGCTGGCAGCGCGTCCCTCCGGTGAAGAGTGGCGGGCAGGGGTGATCCCGCGCTCTGTTCCAGCTATTTCCAAAGCTTGGGGCCCGGTAATTTGCTAGCTCCTTGCTCAGATAAGGCAAGAAACGTCTTTCTTTGATAATATGATTGAAATGGTAGGGGTATGATGCCTCCTCGTTAGTAATACTGGCTTTGCATGCAGAGCACAATCCCATCCCTCTAGACTGCTTAGCCAAAACAGAGCGTAAACTCTGTAATTAGTAACGTGTTCCATCATTAAAGAGCCCTGCTGAGAATTTCTATTTAATAATGGTCTTAAATTAGTTATGATGGTAAATACTCATCTGGAAATTCAACATCTAAAACCATCTACAATCTGGAAATGCTCCAGTGTTGCTGTAATCTCCTGTAACACAGAAATGACTATCACATTCAACCATCGCATTAGAAATTCGCTGTACCGTTCGGTCCACGAATATACAGTATGGATGTGTTAATTAGGTTAACTCATACACTGTCTGCTTCACAAATATTTAGAAATAAACAATGAAAGCTCCTTTTTAATGCGATACAGCCAGGGAGGGCCAGGCGAGGGGGAGGGGGTTGTAGGATTTGACTCTCTCGGTTGGAAAGGCTTTTGTTTTCAGATAAGGTTGAACTACAACGTCCTCGGGCTTAAGAGTTCACCAACACAGGCCCACGGACACCCACCCACGGACACACATAGGCAGCAGCAGCACCCACGGCTCCTCCTGCAGAATGTGGGTCCTGCCCCTCGCATGCCAGATCAAGCGGATCAATTCTTATCGCACACTTTTGGGTCTTTCCCCCTTTTAGACTGAAAATAGCTCACTGTTTCTCTGCCGTGTCCCCACCTATAGAACGAAGCTTCGCTACTGCAACCCTTCCAAAAGAGTTTTTAAAATAGTCCAACGAGGCTCAAGGAAGAGGCAGTGTTAAATAAATAATTAAAGAAAGCCGGCTTCCCCCCTGTCTGCAAGCGGGATAAAAGTTTTGCAGATAGACTGTGATGCAGGTATAAATAAATCGTTCAGATACACTTATCTCCACTGGGGATAGAAAGGAAAGTTGTTTGTAATAACAATAGAAAATCAGTAACTGAGATAGCTGGGAAGTTGAGAGTTACGGTAGGAGGGAAATGAGAGGAGTAAAGTATATTTCTGTATTTACCTAGACTTCTAAAGGTTTATTCTCTCTAGCACTAACCTTTCATGTTTAATGAATGAATCTGCATTGCAGGGTTTGTTTTCTTTTTTTATTTTTTTTTCCCCAACCCCTCCATGTGCCGGCTAGTTTTAAATCTGCAAGCACCACAGAGAGGCCGTGATCCCATCTGCCTATGATTCCAAATTAAAGTTCAAACGGACGGCTTACACACTGCTGATCCTGTATCATAGCCTCTCGCGACCCTTCAATTACTATTTAATAGAATTACAGTGTAAAATCCCAATAGTCTTAAAGAATGTTTTATCACAGACTGAAGAGAGAGAATATACAGACAACTCCAATGTTATTGAACTGTATTACTGACCTATTTAGATACTAAAAGGGAACATTTAGTGTTCTACAAGATATTACAAGAGCTACTTTAATCTGGAAACGTGCATATGTCTACGTATACGAGAATGTGTATGGGGACATTACATACATCAACTCCATCCCGTCAGCGGGTGCACACAGCCACCCTGCGTGGACTCGTGTGCTCACCCGTGTACGTGTGTACACACCCACGCAAACACACGCGGTCCTCCAGGCCCAGGTGAAAATCAGTGTGTTCTGGTAAACTGCTGTACTACTTCATTGTTGCCAGATATTGCTAAAGAGGTTATTCCAGTAGGAAAGCAATTTTTCCTCCACTCATTGAAAAATACTCTTTAATTGACCTTATTATTAAATGAACTTCCCCTAATGATGTTTCTATGGGGACAAAAAAGCAAATATTTGCAGTAGAGCTAAATCTCCCTCTAATAGCTGGGGTTGGAATTCAAGTCAGTCTCAGTCTGGCTTTAGATATTGTAAATCTTGACTTCCAGTGGGGTTTTCTTCTTTCTTTTTAGACCTGTTCGGCAAAGGGCCCTCCTGCCTCAGGGAGAGACGATCCAGCCACTTAGTATAGCGTACAGGGAGGCGATTCTAACCACGCACCCCAGATTTTTACATCTATTTTTTTCTTTATTCGTTAGTCTTTTGCACCTCTCTTCTCTTGCAGATCCCGAGGTGCCGAGCCGCTTCGAAGGTGAAATCACCTTGCTCCCAAAATAAAAAGGAACAGCACCGAAAACAAAACCTCACAGACGTGCCTCCCCCAGACACAGCAACACAACTCCTTTTAGTATCATTTAATCATAGCTGTGTTCCCACAGCCCCTGCCTTTTTTTTATTGCCGTGCCAGGAGAGACTGTTTAACGCGACCATCGGTAATATCCTTAGTGCTTTCTCTTCACAACACTTTTTCTTCTCTCGGCCATCCCTCCTTTCCTTCCCCGCCTTCTCCATCGCTCGGTCACTTTGCAACCGGACGGCTTGGTTAATTTCCCCCTTTTTTTACACACTATTTACAAACTGTCGTGTATCCGGGGCTCTCTGCAGGCTGGTGATGCGACTACAGGCCACGGGTGCCCTCTGCGTTTTGGACTAGCGCGCGTGTGTGTGTGTCAGTCTGCACACCCATGTGTGTCTGCCTGTGTGCGCTAGAAAAAGGCAATG